GAGCATAGCCTCATGCGCGAGACTGATAGGTCCTGGGTTCGAATCCCGCGAGGCGGGGTCATGGATGCGTACTGCTCAAAGTCCCACAATTGGACGAAACGGCCGTTCAGTGCTTCCAGGTCTTCCATGGTGGTATAGCTTCAATTGAATTATGATTTTAACTATTAAAATTGTGCGGGAGAGAACAAACTCGCTTCCAGCTGAAGAGGAAATTAGAAAAATACTTTGGAATTGGATGGGACATATATTACGGAAATCACCCAACTGCATCACGAAGCAATCTCTAACTTGGAATCGTGAAGGGAATGGGAAAAGAGGAAGGTCAGAGGACACATTACATCGGGGAACAGAAGCATATATGAAAATGATGAATAACAACTGGAAATAACTGAAAAGAATTACTGATGGGAGGGTTGGATGAAGAGTGCTGATGGACATTCTATGCTCCTCCACGAGTTTATCCTTATAATGAATTTTATTCCTTATAAAATATAAAAAATTTTTTGCATGTATCAGTTTTCTTCTTCTCTTTTCTGTTTTACGATGTTTGGATGTTGTAGAATTAATGTTATATGATTATGGTTATCATTTATGATAATCCGGTGAAACCCATTAATGAATAAGAATTTTCATTCAACTGTTTCATTTACTCCACAAGAAAGCAGTAACGAAATTCAGAATTTTTTCGCTGATAGTAATATCAGAGTTTGGGATGGAATTTAAATAGGGCACTTATCTGACATACAGTTTGAATATAATTCGAAGGATAATTTATATTAGTGAATTGTCAGTCATTAAAGCTTTCAGTTTTATGTTAGTTGTAAATATGGGTTGAACAGACACTTTTTAAAGCTTTATATTGCATACTGACTGGAAGTAAACTATACGACCAACCTTGAACCGATTCTCAGCCAATGAGGAAAAGTGTTCAATTCTGAAGTAATTTATGATAAAATAGTAATAAAATGACAAGAATATAGAGTTTTGACATGATTGATGGATCATTTTTGTGTAAATTCTTTATAATACTAAATAAAAATACTATAAGGTAAGAGTTAAGGGTTTTGAATCATGGTTAAGGTTTTTATCGCTAACTAACATTATTTATGATGAAAGTATGGATTTCACGCAAAAATATAGGATATAATATCCCAAACCTGATTGTGATACAATGTTCAAAGACTAGACCTGACAGGTTCTAATTGTTTAAGAAATGAGCGGCCTACAAGCCAATTTATTCCAATCACCTAAGGAATTTTACCATGTTTATTGTATGTCCATACTTTGTATACAAACATGTTTTTGTAACATGAAAAACCATTCACCTGGCCATTGATCTTGTCGGTTGTCCAATCATTTAAGGCTTAATTCAATTATACGACCTCATGAGCGATCATGGCTCGGACACGACATATTATTGCGCCGACCTATCGATTAGCATTCTATTCATCGATTTTACCAGTCGAAAGCTCATCTAATCAAAATACAGAAATCGATCGAGTATGGTACAAACTCAAAAGTAACAGATAACCCCGACAATCCTGTCAATGTGTTTTGTACTTTAAGTCTATTTGTTTTCTAGAATTCTTCCTCAAAGAAATTATTTTCCCATCGTTGTTCTAGAGATCGCTCAAGTTCATTCTTTTGCGTTAATCGTATCATATTTATCAATTTTCTTCATCTAAGTTGTGGAAATTTGTCAAATTTTGATGAGCTCTTATCTAGCTCTTAACAAGTTACATCTATCCATTATTGAGTTTAGAATTTCACCTTAAACTCCTACAACTACAATCATGAATCTAAGTAGTTCGGTCGTATAGACTTTTACTGCCAAATGCCTCAGATTATTGTTCACATGGTGGGAGAAGTACTGTAATTATCTTGTTTGACATGAATATTAGATAAAATATATCTCAGGTGTTACAATATGGCAGTTTGTGTTTTTATTTGTAGCTTGCGTTAGGCTTTTATGTAATCAGTCGATTAAAGAAATACGTCCGAATAGAGATGTACAACAAAAAGACATTGGCTCGTTTCTCAGTTTAGGCATCAATAGTTCATTTTTATCTTATATAATACAATGATAATTTTGACATTTTATGATGGATTCTTTCACTTACTGATATAAGTTAAGGATACTCACTCTCGTTAGCGGACCAGTTTCCTTAACGTACTATTCACTTGACTGAATTTTGATTACAATAAATCGTTAAGTGGTGAACACTACCACTATATTTTTGTACGTTCAAGTTATTTTATATACGGTAAAAAAGTTGAAGCATGGTTTAGTTTCCAAGTGTGTTTGCAGTAGACAGTTTTGTTCTAGTCGTATTAAGCAGCATAAAATTGCGAATCGAGTTTTCTGGTTCTAAAATAGTTTTCAAAACAGGATTTTCCAAACGAGTTACAAGGTAATTTTTCCCAATTATTTATTGGTTCTCAAAGGACAGATTTGGTACATGCATGATCGCCTGATTACCATTATTAACACGTATTTAGAAGCAAACGGATATTAGTGACATTGCCTTCATGCGTCGAGTTTATTTTTCCAGTCAGATGAAAGAAATTTCCATTCGCATAACCACTTTTAGTAATAAAAGTTGTCAAAATATATGTTTAAGACTAAAGTCGAAACCAACCTTTACTCATTACCGGAAGTGAAAATTAGCGGTGATATACTTGTGCCGAATAAAACTGTATATAATAAACCTCAAGTGACCTTCTAATAAATGTTGTAACGTAAGTCCCTAGATTGACGATGGAACTCGGTGTTTTTAAGGTCGTTGTTACGTAAAAGCTTTATGACCGCGAACTAAAGTATGTACTGTTTAAGAAGATACGCACAATCTTAACTTCAAAAAGCTCATTAAAGCAATATCACTGCTACTCTGAATGGTAAATAATTATTAACAGTAGCTAATGAATTGAAACGAAATGTGATTAGAAATTTTTCTGGATAGATGGGTGGTTAATATAATTTAGTCGCCAAAATGTTGCCTTGATTTTTTAGAATATACGGTAAAAATAAAACAAATCCCACAGTATCACATCGTTGAATGTTTGATGGTCCTTATTTTCCTTGTTATATAGAAGATATATTACAGCTACAACTTTAAGTCTAAATTTTAATGTGATTTTCTAAGCCATATATTTCACAGAAAAATGTATTAGTAATGAGAGTTAAATGGAAGGGATATAACTTATTTGTCATCAATACTATTAAATATATTGCTTCATGCGATGATGTAATACAGAATGTTAAGTTGAAAATGTATTCAATTATAAGAAACCTTACATTTTCGATTGCGCGCTTTTGAGTAAGAATCAAACGAACCATTGAGTATTTCAGTCATTCAATCTTTATCCCAGCCCTACTTTACATGGTTAACATTTCAGTATTCTGCTTTCGTCTGATTACCAGCTCATTTTTAGTTTCACCATTTCATTCATAACAATTTGCTCCGTGTAAAATCCTAGATGGCTGAAATCAAACCAAATAATGAATCTACATTTTCTTGACAATCATTCCAATTGCATTTTACTGTTTTGAACTATTTGAAACACTATATTTATGGGCATGCCTTGGCTCGGCAGAGAGTCAGCTATCGCTCTTGAAATGCTCTCACATGGCCACGCGTATACAGCCTATGTAAGGGAGGCCTGATCACTGCCGTTTCGCGACGGAAGTATTGTTTACGAAATTGAGGACGAAAAGCGAATACCTGGCGCTTTAACGGGGTCGGTGGATATAGAGGATCGACAAAGGCGAGTTGGAAAACCCTGATTCCCAATCAATGGGCTCCAGGATCCTGAGAGAAAAAGTGGCATATGAACCTATCGTTGGCCACTGCCTACCGTGGGACTGCATCTAATGTTGCTACACTACTTTGTGGATTAGACCTCTAGGTCAAAGGTTCGTGGAGTGACCCCTAAGGAAACCACCTGCTTCGGTCTGGGCTTCCGGGAAGTGTCCCAGCTCTCACACAAATCGAATGACGAAGTGTGGCATATATATATTTGGTGCCTCCTCGTACCAATGTTCATGTGTTTAAATAAATAATAAATAAATAAATGGTCATATATTTGTATGTTATAGAAGTAACAGTAAGGAAAAAGAATGTTTAGGAAATTGAGTAATAGCTTACAATAAACTATCTAATGGGAAAAATAACGAAAGAAAACAAAATTAGCACCAATAATAATATTGGCATCATTTGTAATAATTTCTTTCTAAATGTCATTACAAGTAAGATTTTCCATTATGAACAATAGGTATTATCATTAAAAAAACAAAAAAATAGATAAGTTCCCAAATTTTTTATCATCGGTGTATAGGTACATTATTACAATATATATGCTATTTTTTCATAAAGTAATAAAGAAATAATCTGTTTAATAAATGTAAGGAAAAGATGATAATTAATTACACTTGATTATACAAAAATATCAAGAACGAGATACAGAAAATAATAAACAAATCTCAAACTAGAACCATTCATGATTTGTGTAAAAAGCATTTCATTGAAATATATTATAAGATATATATAATTATCTAATTGTCTCATATGCTGATCGTTTGCTAAGACGACTGCACAAATATATTAAAAGAATAGCAAGACCTATCAGAAGTAGGGTGGTACATACAATTGTTGGAACCTTCTTTAACCATATGATACTCAATGGACAGTCTATGGCTAAAAATGTGTAAAAATATTAGAAATTAGACAATCTATAAATAATTATTTCGAAATAATTTGGTGATATCGTGTCCTATGAGCGTCGATCATTTAATTGTAAAGGTTCCATTATCTTTCTGGACAAAATCACTGGGGGTTAATTCAAGTTTATTTGAACGTTGAAGATGTTATTGAGACTGAAAGCTGTACAGTTAAACCATTCAACTCAGCGAACATAGATAGCACCACCAGAATTTTCTATTTGAGATAGATTCTCTCTATTGTTACGCAGAAACATTCTATATATCATAGCTTACATTATTTCTAATATGATGGTTCAATAATAGATAATGTCATAAAACATACCGAGCATTTTATTCGGGATTTTTTCCAGTTCGTACCTAAGAAAATCAGATTGTTAAATTATCGAATTTCTAAATAGTGATCTATATTAAATGGAAAATTAGTACGACTAACAATACAGTCCGACTTCATAACAGATCTAGTTGGAACTAGTCAGTCAGCTACAACGTAGGACCAGGCAGCATCACTGTCATGCTGGTTGTCTGAAAGAAACACCTTACTGCTGTCACACCTCTGTACAGTCAGCAGTACAACTTCGCCTTCGGCCCTTGAGTTTGTTGCTTTTAGTCTTACCACTCTTCAACCGACCTGTCTGACATGGTAGGACCTTGAGGAACGGTTGTTCTAGCTAGTATAGCTCGGTTGCTTCATCACGATAGGCAAGCCCGACCACCATGTCAAGGTAGTAACAACAGTCGGGGTTGGGACTAGTGGAAACATACTTAATAAGACCGCATATGTATGTGATATAGAACTTGGAGGAATGTGAAAATCAGTTTGATACATTAATGATCAGAATTAAAATCAGTCTAGACTTTCTGTTATTTTTTTGCTTCACTTTGCATTTCCGAGAACCGTTTTCATTTAGTTTATTTCTTCATGATTTCGATGAGAACTTTCTGTTCTCTTTGATAAACTAAATGAATAATGAAGAAAACCGAACTTTTTATAAATATTAGGTAACATTTATAGCGATAAAATAATAATACATTTCTTATGTACCAATTTATGGGAAACTAAGTTTCCGAGGTTTGTATATCCTACGTCATGATAAAAATGTTTTTATTAAACAAATGAATGTCATTATATTAAAATATTGAACTTATTATCTAGTTGTACACCTGTGTAACCACAGAATTCCCAGTAAGATTTACGACAACTATGCTACTATCCCAACATTAAAGAACAACTCTGGCACGTTTAATATGACTTTAATTAGATGTTAGTGTCTGTGAAACGAACACATATTATTTATAAAAAAAATAAACTTTGGTAAGAAAAATATTTATTTGCTTAAGGAAAAAACCTAGTTTTTAAAAGAAAAGTCATTTAGTGGTACATTTTCAGATGCTTTTGTTAAGTCTTACAACGGACCAATAAGCGTAGACGATCTTAAGCAACCAATACGCAGCAAGGACGAGGGAGACTGATACTCTATGCTTGACGATTGGTTCAATACTAACTGGCCGCGAACGAAGAGGAAGAACACAGAAGCGGTGATCACCAGTACAAGATCGCCATAATATTTCAGACATTCATTCATATGCATACAAAACCAGATCACGGAACAACAACCTTAATGATGGGAAAAATGGAGTACCGTGTACACAGATAATCGATTCTAAGCAACGTTTTGAAGACTATAGCACCATTCTATTGTTGAAATAAAAGCATGGAACAAGGGTAATACGAAAATGATACAACCAAAATACTTAATAAACATGCGGCCAATATAATTGTAGAAAAATAGCTTCGGAAGATTTTACCTCATAGTTAAATGGTCTATTACAACAGCTTTATATTTGTACACTCACCAAGACCCATAAATTCTGAACGATTTTCAAGTCTGAATGCTTCCATTGATGAGTTTAAAAAATAAATATTGACTTTTATATTATCATTATCGTCCACGAATAGTTCTCTATGTAAATGATTGGCACATTCATAGTATCCACCGACAGGAATCGTGAACAAACCTCTATCTGTATTAGCATCAATTTCACTGCCTGTATAATAAAATTGCATTTGAAATGATTAACCTCATTTTATTTCTAATAGGGGCGGTGTTAACATGATAAACTAACAAAACATGAAGTATGTAGATTAGTATTAATGAAAAATTTAGAATTAAATAGTTAGTAACTAGATACATATTATTTCGAGTTCAACACATTGCCTACGTGATCATCTTTAGCAAATAAGATAAACACTTATTCGTTCAATAGCTACAACACTTATATTATTATTGGCATTCCAAAGTTTAAATATATTTTTTTAATGTAATGTTTGATTGAATTTATCTTTAAGGGAAGAGAAAAAACACAACTAAAGTTATTTAAAGTGGCTTTAATCTTTTCAAAGTGTTAATTACCTTTATCAACAGTATAAGTAATACCTATGCTTTCCAGATCATATCTTTCAGAATCCTCTCCAAACACAAATATAAGTTTCCAGTCTAAGAAATCGACATTTGGCGACCATGAAACTGTCAAATCCTGTCTTTTTTGTTCACATGTGCCATTCACAATGATCTTATTTTGCAAGGTTCTATTGAGATACATAGTTGAACTTATGTTATTTTCCTTCATAAAATGAAAGAAAAATAAAGGACGGCTCAATTAAATTACATTTCGTTATTTTTTTAGGCTGATCCATTCAGTGAACAATATTCACATTACGATACAGAAACGATAAAGCTTGAACGTGAATACTATAAAAATGGATGGGATGAGGCTAGCAATCAGATCCAGGACGCGCGTCTTGTCCTATTTGGGACTCATCATCTGGATGTACATGGATTTCCAAGACGATGCACACTCCAGAGTCCGGACCCAGCACTATTCACTTTAAACACCATTGTGTTATCCATCTAACCACCGAGTTAGGATAGTTACTCACTTGTGCAACGGTTACGAGTTTAAATCCAATTCGAATTGGATTGGACTACCTCGTTGTTGATATTTCGACTGAAATTTATTTTCTTGTTACAGTGGCTATATCGAAGCAATTCGCACAGGACGCACATATCCCAAACAAGACCGATCATATTTCAGTAACCATATCAACAACGGGATAATCCAATCTATTTCGAATCGAATTAAATATGAATAAGTTAAGATATGCTACAACACTAAAGATGATATATTTATATATTTCTGTAGGAGTATGTCTTCACATTTTGTGATTTGCTAATTGCTTATGCTTATTTTGGGAGAGTTACATGGTTCACTATGAAAATGAAAAAAAATTTTATCCCCACCAAAAATTTACAAGTAAACACCGAATAGATTTGGTCTACTAATTATATGCAGTAACAGAGTGTAGGACAGAGCTGTTGGATTCAGTTTAAATTTATGACTTATTATTTGGAGGTTTGAAGTCCCAATGAATAAATCCTCTGAGACTTTAGTAATCCTAGTATAAAAATTGAATTCTTACATCACTATAAAAATAGTTTTTGTAAAGGCACTTCACAGAGATATAGATATTCTCTGTAATACAAAACATATGGAAAAAGACAATGGTATAAAGAGTTCAATGTTCTGTGAAATTCATCTTGAAAATAATTTATCCGTATTTTTATCTTTTATAAAGCAATAAAAGCAACTTTATTTTCGTTATTTACTTTTGAGATGAATTACAATAAATCTAAAATGAGTGACAAAACAATTAATTTGGTGCTTAAAGTTTTAAGGAGGAGCTATTTTAATAAGAATGAACACTCAAAACACTTATGTTACTTTAAACTTTTGAATATGTAGTGTAAGTGGTACTTAAGCAAATATCACTCGGTAAAATTGTGATTTTGTAGTAATATATGAGGTAGTTTTAAAGAAATGAAAATCTAATACCTTCTCTTTTAAGCTTTCATTCTAATTGTTTCGCAAACTTCAGTAACCAGAAAATGTGGTATAAAACTAATTTGCTATGATAATAGAGGAAAAGTGGAAGATTGATAATTTCACAGAAAAAGTCAGCTTGGAATTAGATTGTCATAAATTTAGCCTGAGTAAAGGAAGAGAACTGAGTGCATGGTTAACAACCTTATCGCTTCTGGCAAACCAAACGACAATTAATAGCGATAAGTGGAATGTCCGGACCGTATGGGAGACACGGATGGATAGCATAATAAATAAGTAGATTCAAGCTAGCTGCGCTTGAAGTGAGCTAAGCACCTTCGACACAATCTAGACATAAAAGACGAACTATAGGGAAAATGTTGTATTCTGATCATGAAGGGGAAAATCCACATATCAGGATCTACACTAATGAAACCCAATAAAGCACCAAAGACGCTTTAAAAACGGGAAACACACGAGTACAAGATCACTAAATAATTCTTAGAAACAAAGGAGGAACGGACTACAATAAATGTCATAGAGTGCTTCATGGCTATCAATGATGGCAGCAAAGATGATAAAGACTATGATAGAAAAAAGGATGAGATAAAAAAGTATAGAAGAACTATATGATACAACTAAAAAGTTAACACGAAAATGTAGTAGACCAAATAGACCATTTAAGAACAAAGAAAATAGCCAAGCCATTGAGGTTCAAGAGCAGTGAAACAAATGGATAGAGTAATTTGAATAGCTCTTAAACAGACCAGCTCCATCGAACATCAAAGCAATGCATACAGACCTCCCTAAAGATGTAACCCCAAAAGAGATCAGTGTGGTCAAGAGTGAGAAAGTGATGGGACCAGAGAGCATATTAGCTGAAGCACTGAAGTCAAATATGGTGGTACCTGCAAAGATGCACAGTTCTCTTCAGAAAGATTTGGGATGAGGAGCAAATACTCATAGACTAGAAAGATACCGAATAAAGGAGATCCTAATACATGTGAGAACTGCGGAGGTGTCATACACCTATCAGTACAAGGAAAACTTTTCAACCGAGTGACGAACCAAACGAAAGATTGGTTACACTCCAGACTTTGAGATCAACAAGTTGGCTTTTGTAAGGATCGATCCTGTACAGATCAAATTGCGACACCATGGTTCATCGTTGAGCAATCGATTGAGTGGAACTTATCCATATACTCCTTTGTAATGAGAAAACATTCAACAGTTTGGATAGAACCTTATGGAATCTTCTTTGACACTGGGTTATCTGAGAAAATCGTCACCAACATACGGAACTTCCACGAGACACTGGATCGAAATATCGTACATGAAAAGAAGCTCACAGATGCATTCCAGGAGAATACCGGTGTAAGACAAACCTGTCTACTCTCGTCTTTTTTTCTGATGCTAATGGGATTATAAAGACATTTACATCTCAAGAAAATTATGGACTACAGCGTGCACTTTGGTACAGCTAAAGAATTTGGACTTCGCAGACGATCTAGCTCTTCTATCCCATACACAACAACGAATGCAGGTAAAGATAGCCAGCTAAGTAAAAGCCTCTGCAGAAGTTTCCTCAACATTTACAAGAGGGAAAGTAAGATTTTGAAGTTCTACTACATTAGCATCAACAAAAATACACTTAATGATAAAGCTCTGAAGGGGATGGAAACCTTTATTAATATAAGCAGGCAAACTACCACAGACATTAACAAAAGCGTTCAGGTATCTAATAAAATGCTGCTTATTCAAAGTATTCTAGGTGTATTGGCCGGAGACCACCGACAGTAATAGAATATAGCAGAGAACAAAGCATCTCCCAGCTGAGAAACAGGCTCTGAAGGTGGACAGGATATACCATATTCAAATACTCAAACTGCATTCCGAATTTTCAAGGGAAAAGGAAGAGAGGACAGAGGAATGTATGGCTTTGAACATTGGAGGCGGACGTTAAGACCACAAAATAGTACTTGGCAGAACCTAGAAAGGAGAGCCGAAGACAAATAATTGGAGATCCTGATCAGAATAAATATGGTCATTTATCTCGCAACTCCATTTAACATATGAGCTTATCTAAGTTAACACTTCGTATTAGTCACCCCAACATTAACCATTTGGTTTTATTTCATATGACAAACAACCCTTAATTCATATGTTACATTTTGTAAGTGAGGTATTTCGCCATAAACCTAGCCGATTTTATGCATTATTAATTTGGATATATAATTGTAGAACCTAATAAATTATTGAAAAAGGTATTCTTCGCTAATATAATTGTTTTAATATGATAGGAATTTTTCAGCGATTCAAATAACCTATGCTAATTACAAGACGTTAATCAACTCTAAAGATATATATGTGGTACATCACTACTATCACGACTTCGGAGTAAAATATTTTGGACTGACAAGTGACTAATTTGTCTGCATTTATCTACGTAGAGTTAAAAAAGGGTGAGGATCTATACACTAAGCTCTACTTTATCTACAAATCCTTACTTCTAACATGATCTGAACTCGTTGAGTTACCGGTTTGTTTTAAATAAAGTGACATGATTATGGTAAGATGTTTTAAAATCGACTGAAGTGTTCATACTACGCTTTTGGTTGCATACTGCATTATGCATTATGTTATCAATATGTAATCAATACCAAACAATCAGCCCCATAAAAACGTTATTCGAGTTAATTTGTCAAATCGTTGGTTACTATGTTAAGGGTAATATTAAGTAGAAAAAATTGCACCGAAAACTATATTTTTGATAAGATACATAAACATTATGACTTGTTCAGTTTTCAGACAAAAAATTCTTTGTTAACAAACCTCATCTTCCACCGTGATATTTATAATGGACTGTATGGCGACACATTCAGTTAAGAGGAGAATCTCATATCTGTTACGCGGTTTTTGACTAATATTAGTGATTTCCGAAGAAATTGTAGTAGTGGAAGGATCATGTTGTACAGTAAATCTAGTATTTTGAATCGACACTGCTAAATCATGACGAAATCTTCAAACAATGTTTGAATATTCTTACTGTCTAACAAAGAAAACAGAAATGACCAGAAACCTGGATATGCCATCCTTCGTTTCCAACTGAATTTTCACTGAACTTTTACAATTAGTGACTAATATGTAGGAAGACGCACCTTTTTCATCATCTGTTGAACAGAAATCAACATTCACTGACAAAAATATATAACTGTATTTTAGCGCCTTACGTTGCATTGGTCTGTTTTACACTTCAGATACTCCGTTTACCAAAATGCGACAGATCAAATAAATACAAAAAAAGTTATGGAAAATATCATGTTTTAGGTAAACATATACCTAAAAAATTTTGATTTTAATAATACGGGCAGGCTTCAATAGCTAACGTAATGGTACGCTCAAAATAGTTTGTTGGGCCAGTGAAATGTCACTGAACTCTCGCCAGATCATCCGGCAGTCGGGTCCCTGAATGTCGAGCAGCTAACCGATCTTCGTCAGAGTCAAGGACAACCAAAATACATCAGTTGATTGCACGCCATGGACTGGCTCATGCAGTATTTGCCGCACTCTGTTCCTTGTACCTACTCTTACTAGTATGTTTGTGTAACAACGTCATTTGCATTGTACATTCATCAAAAGAGCCATAGTACCTGGATACAAAGAAAGGGTAGTCCACGTGTGTGACCTGAACGTTGTCTTGTTAGTCACACACTTCCCGTCTAACTCAAGTAAGCCCCCAGTTACACAACATGGATCATCTACGTTAGCGATCTAAAAGTTCAAATAGTTCTTGACGGAATATAAGAAGCTTTCGCTTAACGGACTTCCGCCTCTAGTAGTAGTAGATCACTGATGTTTACAAGTAACAACGTAGTTGTATTAGATGGGAAAAAAGAATTAGTAAACTACAGTCAGATACTGTACTTAACCCTCAAGAATATGTCAAGTTTCCCCTACTAGGACACGCTATAGCCTTATAAGAAGTGAAGTTTACCCTGACCTCAAAAATTCAGTTATTTAGAAACGAAGTAAGCTGATCAAATAATGCTGGCTTCGTGTCTGTTCACTTGATCTTACTGACCCTATTAGGGATGGTTGTCAATTTGTCCAACGCCATCAGCAGGTTGCTTCTCCTAAAACTATGATGTTGGGGTGAAAAGAAGTTAGATGAATAGTAAGAATTCACGTAAACCGTCGCATATCAGGGCCTTTATGATTTTTGAGGGTATCGTGAGAAGTGCTATTGGATGGTGGCTATAAGGTTCGCTCGGTAAACCCCCATTGAAAATCGGTGCTACGTGAGACAGCTTCTGATTTTCTGATAGCATGCCTAAGCTTAGCGACTGAGAAAAAATCACACTGGGTGCTGCAGTTTCCGGTAGACTAATTCGGTGCTCAGGTTCACTTCTGGGAGTCCTGTTGAGTTGAAGGTGAAGCTAGATTCATTGCCGTTGTTATGGGGCAGTTGAAACTTCTGAAAATACTGTTATTCCAGAAGCTCATTGACGTCACCATCGTTGTTTGGGCCAGTGAGACCTAAAGACTGAGAAAATTTGGTTTTAGCTTGTCGAAGAGAGGTTGAATAACGGAATAGGCTTTTCGGATTGGAGACGAGTTTATCAGTTAGCTTTATCTGATAATAAAGCCCGTCCTCTCTAACTGCATTTGTGCATTGACTAGTGCCTCCGATTTAAAACGAGTGGGCTTTTTAGTCCTGTTTGTCCTTTTGTGAAAGACCAGGCAACCGACCTACAATGCGTTTTCCAGGTTGGTTAACCCTACCCTTCTACATTTTCTTGATTTTGCCAGTTCACAAGTGGAATGGTTAGTTACAATTCGCTTTTACGCTTGATCCTTGCATCGTTTGGCCTGTCCGGGTGCATATGGATTCCAGTTGGTAACCGATATCTGTTGGCACGAAATACTTCGAGAGTGTCTGCTGCCAAGTGAAAGGATGTGAAGGTTATTTTTACTAGCCGGTGCCCAGAATGTGCCTTCTTCTCGTCTAATCGCACCACTTGTTCAATCAATATGATTTTGAGCTTAAAGAACTTCTTTATGAATTTCCACTCTATAATATCATAATCTGTATTTTCTGGGACATCTTGCACAGTGATATTTCTTCCGCGAACGAAAGTCTCGCGAGATTCTTCAGGGATGTTCCTGATGAGATTGCGCTCAAAATATGATATGTCAGGCATTGTTTTTAAGTCCCCTTCTGATTTCAGAAGGTAATTGGCCGTCAGAACATCATCTACGTCAACAGGGTTGGTGAGCGTCACTCAAAGGAGTCTAGGATGATCTTAGTTCTTGGAATTCTCCCACCGAGTAAGCCAAGCAACTGTCAGTGGCTTGACTTTGGGAAGTTTGAACATCCTGTTCAACTCATCTGAGAGCATCCCGTCATTTTTATCCTGTAGACTGAGAGGGAGGTCGGTGCTGTTATCAAGGTTCTTAGGGTCATCTCAAATCGTCATCTGGTACTTTGATATTGGGGTCCTTTTAGTTAGGCAGTTGGATTGTGCTCAGGATTCTCATGCTCAGTAATGACTAGATTTACCGCTTTTTGTTTTGTATGGATTATATTTTCCAAATACACCCAAACATTTTTTAAATACCAAGACTTGACTATTCACACAGAGTATGATATATCAATACAGTCTAATTTTTCGTCTTGTGTCTTTCTCAAGGTTTGTGTGAAATAATTCCTATTGTGAAAATTAGAACAACACATATAAGCGAACAGTTGTTTTCAATTACATCGTCATCAGGCTTTACTCTAATATAAATGAATATATACACGAAAATTTTAAACCGATCAAGGCAATATGGGTCGATAATCACAATGAAATAGAATAAGTCTCTACACATAATAGGTAAAAGTACAAGTTTATAGTAGGAAGACAGGTGAACTGATAATAGTAAGAATAATAAAATACAATAACAAAACTCTTATCAATAGCTAAACGTTGGCAATACAAGGTCAAACATGGGTAAATAGACTAAGAATAGTAATCACAAAACTTTAAAATCATTACGTAATATGATGTGTGTAAATAATTAGATAGTGAAGAATGCGAAGAGGCGGAAAATTACAAACAAATAATGGATGTGGAAATAAGGTTAACGATAACACAAATAGAATAAAATAAATAATGATAATAATAAAATTTAAAAAATTGTTAGTTAAGTTATAACCGGCCATGGAAGGGATGAGGGGGTCACGTATTTCTTCTGTACACATAAATTGGGGTTATATGTACGAATTCCAATGGCTTCAGCTATATGTAGGAGACGGGAACGGACTCCGTCGGGAAATGATGGAGGTATACGATAGATAACGCGAAATGATTTTGATTTATCTACAGCATGACCACTATCAATGAGATGTGCCAATATAGAACTGCGAATAGATTTTATCTGGCCTTTTATGTACCAAGTTGGTAGATGTTCACTCATTCGTTGGTTAAGTTGCCTGGTAGTACGCCCTATATAGCTATCTCCACAGGAGCAGCTGAATTTGTAAATGCACATGGAAGAGGCCAACTCAGGTAACTTATCCTTCGTTTGATTAGACATCGCTGGTCGATAAGAGAAGGTCAACGCAAGATTGGCTGCGTAGAATGTCTTGGTGATTACTTTGGTTAACCTATATTTAAGAGTGTCACTAGCCACATCCCCGTTGAATTGGACTTTCATGTATAAAGGTTTCTTACGAACAGTCGAAATCTCCGACTTCTTTATTATATCATACATGTACTTCTTAATGAAAGCTCTGGGGTAGCCGATCTCGGTCAGTGAGTTCTTGAGAAATTCAAGCTCCTGACTTAGAGTATCTACTGTACAGATCATTTTTGCTCTGTTAGTGAGATATCTGACCATATTTCTCTTGTAACGGATGGGTGTGAAACTGCAGAAGTGAGTATATTGGCATGAAGAGGGATTTCTTCTATACACGCTTCTTCTTAATGTGCCGTCACTTCGTCTGCTTAGTGGGACGTCAAGGAAGTTCAGCTTCTTATCATGCTCGCTTTCACCAGTGAAAGTGATCGCTGGGTGAACACTGTTGAATTGGTCTAGGAGTTCCTCTTTACTAGTGTTTTGATCTACGATAATGAGGGTGTCGTCAATGTATCGGCGATACAAATCAAGTTTCTTAATAGTCTCATTGAGAGGTCCATTTTCTAGCTTTGCTAGGAAGAGATAAGCTAAAATCGGGCCCAGAGGCGAGCCCATGGCTATCCCGTCTATTTGTCTATAGTAAGTATTGTTGGAGACAAAATGTACATTCAGAGTGCATCTTAGGAGCAGTTCCCTTAGGCTATCGTTAGGCAAGCCAATGTTGATTTGTTTTTCTGATATTTGCTTACATATAAAATCAATAGTCTCTATAAGTGGTACGTTGGTGAACAAAGATCCTTTTACTCTGAAGTCATTCATAATGCGATTTTACGTTGGACGTCACACTAGCATCCGAGAAAATATACATCCATCTCTCGAGAAATTGAATCAGGACCTTTCACATTTGCAAAAGCCTATCTTCCTACTAATATGCCCTCAGTTGCATTTAGAGTTGCTAAGGCTACATTTCCGACTGTAATATAAGATTTTTAGCGTTTGATATTGTGTGAATTTCTTACCATGCACTTTTTGTCACTCCAGATTGAGTATTTCCATATATTCCTATTGTCGTCTACAGCCCGTACTGTCAACGGCTTGAACTGCAGCTCGACTTCAGTCTTAGAAGTAAGATTATGCACTAAACTAGTATGACAGAAATTGCGAAATCTAAACAGGGATACGTCTACTGATTCTTCATACTGACGACGATCCTTAGTCTGCAGTTCTCACGTTTACTAGGCCAAGGAGTGATTCCAGATACTTGGAGATCGGAGGGTGGTTATCACGACTGTATTTCAAGATACCGGACGGCAATCCCCTTCTATAGGTTGTTGACTCAACGATATACAAGTGCTTACGTGACTGCTTCTTATCTATGGACTTCTTTATATCACAACGACACGGTTTTAGGAGGGTGCACTCCCGCACCTCAAGTCTAGTGACTGCTATAGATAGGTCGGCTACCATCCTC